AAAATCTTAATTATAATTGTATTAATACATGATTAATATATTACACATATTCATATAGAATATAATTTCATTAATGAATAATAAATATCATTTATAATTTATAATAAACAATATTTTAGTCACAGTTTTTTCCCCCTTTTGAATTTGGCCATAAATGTAGGACTTGTTTTTGTGAGATTTGCTCATTGAACTGAATTAAAATAATTATTTACAAAGTGTTTTCATCTTTATTCATTTATGAATCAAGGAAAACAACTAACAAAATATGGAGTGTTTTTATATAAATTTCCCAATGCTAATTTATGATGTAACTTGTATGATGTATGGTTTCTGATGTAAGCCATATGCAACTAAGCAAAATACTTACCTTTACTGTGTGCTGCAGATTGATCTTGCTCACGGCTGTTTGAGACAAACTGAGTCAGCGTTCACTGGACACATCTATGTAATATCTGTTCAAAATCCTGCGAGCTTATGGCCATTTCAGGAGCCGTCTGCCTGTGGTTGAATGAGCAGTGTCAAAGGAAGAAGGCTGTAAATAAATAAATAAAAGGAAAAGGACAAATTAGTCCATTCGGCCAGCACTCCTGAGCCATGTTTATTTATTCTCTGTCTATACAAAGAGCTGGGGGAGAGTGAGTGAGAGGGTAGGATGAAAAATCCTCCTCTCTTCCTCCAGATTTAAACAGCAAGCCTGCAGTGGCTCTTCACTTCTCACGCCAAACAAATAATACATTTTATTTGCATGATTGCGTCTGTTTGCTTCTGCAGAAAACCTGCTGACAAGACCAGCTTAGACCAGCAGGAAGGGCGGTTTTTTTATATACTAAAATGTATTTGAAATACATTTATTTCATGCTAAGTATGCTACAAATACATTTACATATTATTTATGTCCATAATTAAAATACCCTGCAATTGTACTTTTAGTATACTAAACTGGTATATAAAGTCTGCTAATTTGGAACAACTAATTTTGAACTTAATGCACTTTAATTGTGTGGAAGTAGTCCAACTAAAGATATACTGAAGCATATTTGATTGTGCTAAAGTGGAAGTTTACTTCAGGTACACTGTAAATATCTTGCATTTAAAGACAATCATACAATTCTCATCAAGTTACATTAAAAGACATTTTAGGTTAAATATTAAGAAATGTGCATTGTACACAAGAAGTACTCCAAATAAAGTTTAATTATAATTTTTATGCCAGTAAGTGCTGCCTTGTTTTAGCTGTATTCACTCTTGACCTGCGGTGGTATTTAATTTGTAGTGTCTGAAACAAAAGCAAGTTAATGCAGAGAGAATGACTGCATTTCTTTAAAAGGTTCTGTAACAATCTTAGAATGAAATGCTGATCAAAGAACCTCTTGACAATATTACTGTGAATCTCAATATTTATGTATTGGCTCTGAAATAGATTTATGCAAGAAATAAAGCATAAAACAAGCGACATTCAAATTTTCATTTTTGGGTGAACTATTCCTTAAAACTCTAAACTAGTCTAATGACCGTTTCTAAAGACTGTCCAAATATAAAACATGTTAAAGATGAAATAAGAACAATTGTGTGCTAAATTAGGTCATTTGTATTCTACTTTATACCTAAAGGTTGACCAAATGCACTTTTCCCACATACCACAGTCATCTTTCACTGTTGAGAAAATGGATCAATTATATTCATGACTCATCCTGCACTATATAGATTTTTGTCCAATCAAATGCTCTCAAATAAGAATGTCCCTCCCCCAATAGCATCTGAGTCTGACAAACAATGTTCACAACATTACTTACTCAACTTCCTGAGCTCCACACATGACATGAATTCAATAACCAAAACTTATTAAATTGTGACCATGTTTTATTTTATTAACTTGTTGACCAAATTAATTAGTAAAATATGGCCACAATTTCACTAAAATAAGGAAACAAATTAATAAAACATGGCTACAAATGAATAAGCCATGCTTGTTTTTTTTTTGCATGTCATGTGCATGGCTCCATACTAATCACAATGTGACTTAATTTTAAACCATCACAAATATATCTTGATTGCCTTCAGCACTCTTCTCAGGCAGAATCCAGTCCAGTCCAGTATGGAAAAGTTATAGATGTGGACACACATTTGCATGTTTATTTGCATTTCATCATGTTTGTAATTCATCCAGTCGCCCACCTCTTCCCTTGAGTCAGTGGCTGTAAAACACGCGTCTGACACGAGCTCTCTACGCCGGCTCTGTAAGCAGACCGAGGGAATGCAGAGAGATCACTGACAGAGAGAACGAGGTTCATCTCGCAGAGAGGTAATTCAAAGCATGTCATAAAACATCAATACTCCTCTAGTGGGCCGGCCAGCACAGCTGCATGCTGGGAAACATTATGGCCTTACATAATTCAGCACAGGAAAAAAACTCCTTCACTTTATTGAAAATTCACATCTGAGTTTTAACCAATCTAAACACATACACACTGTTATAATATAAATGATGTATGTGTTATTAATACAGTGTCTTTATGACGTATTTACACTGCTTAATTTTTTCCAAACTTTTGTGTGATTATTATTATTATTAATTAAGTTGGTTTGAGAAAGCCAACTTACTGATCTACTTTTTAACTTATTCTTCTTCTTCTGAGACCAAATTTGGGCAGAATTTTCAAGCTACAACCAACAAATCAGGTCAGACCTTCAGACTTTGCTATATATTTTCTAACTGACTGGACTTATGATTTTCGTTAAACCGTCGATCGAAACTACGAAAAGTCCCATAAACTTTCATTGAGGGGGTTGAATCTTCTGTACAGTAAGACTTATACAGTGTTTAAGCTGTCTATCACTAGCAAAGCTTAATGACTATCCTATATAGGACAACATGCTAATCATACTAGAAACATGATATTAACATGCTAACGGCATGTTAATCATGCTAAACATGCTAACAACGTATTCATCATGCTAGCAAACATGCTAATCATGCTAGAAACATGCTAACAACATACTAATCATGCTAACAACATGGGAATCATGCTAGAAACATTCTAGCAACATCATCATGTTAAAACATGCTAGCAACATGCTAATCGTGCTAGAAACATGCTGCAAGCAACATGTTAATTATGTTAAAACATGCTAGCAGCATGCTAATCATGCATGCTAACAATATGCTAATCATGCTGCTAGAAACAGGCTAACAACATGCTAACAATATGCTAATCGTGTCAGCAAAACAGGCTAATTATGCTAGACACATGCTAACAACATGCTAGTTGTGTTAAAAACATGTTAATCATGTTAAAAATATACTAGCCACATGTTAAATCATGTTAGCAATGTGCTTAATCATGCTAGCAACATGCTATCAACATCTATCTAATCTGCTAAACTGCTTCTAGGTTTTCTCAAGCCAAATTAAAAGTTTGTTTTAAACTGAACTCATCTAGTTAACTATTAATATAATGAATATAATATAATATTTGTATATTTATAAATATAAATATTTATTTTATCAGTATTTATAAATATAAAATATTATATTATATCTTTTGAATCTGAACAACACAAATCTGATTACTAACATGAAAATGAATAATATAATCACATAAATATTCTAGTAATTATATTCAGTTTAGTGTTAGTATTCAGACTCTTCACTATGACACAGCAAAGTTTAGCTCTCAAAATTAACCTCTCCATTATCACTGAATTGTCTCTAGAACGTGATTAGTGCCACATTTACTTGATTAGACATGATTTAGAAATACACACGTCTGTCTAAACTGCATCCTACAAGACAGATACTACTGCAGTGACTTTGGCATCTGAAAGTTTTTGAGTGCTCCAGCCAGATCTGAAGCACAGTGAACCCACAAGACAGTGGATTGATGTTATCAGATACTCTCAGTCCAATCTGACAGAGTGCTCATCCAGAACATACTCAACCACAGTTTCTACACTGGACTGCTCTGCCGCAAAATGAAAGCAAAAATAGATCACCTAAATAACTGTTGCATGGATATTAAGCAATAAAATACAGAGAAACTGAAAAAAGTATTTTGAACTAATAATGGCCAATACTTTTACAGCATTTCTTAAAGGAATAGTTCAACATAAAATGAACATTTGCTGAAAATATACTCATGCTCAGGCCATCCAGGAAGTAGATGAGTTTGTTTCTTCATCAGAACAGATTTGGAGAAATGAAGCATTACATCACAAACTAACACGAGTTAAAAATAAACAATACAAACGGATAAATATCATTTTTATATAGTTACAGATTTATATAGACTGTAATGGATCCTCTGCAGTGAATGGGTGCCGTCAGAATGAGAGTCCAAACAGCTGATAAAAACTCTGCCGCCCCCCATTCACTGCAGAGCATCCACTGGTGAGCAAGTGATGTAATGCTACATTTCTTCAAATCTAATGAAGAAACAAACTTGGATGATCTGAGGGTGAGTAAAGTTTAAGCAAATTTGAATTTTGGGGTGAACTATTCCTTTAATCTACGTTAGTTTAACTTTTTACATTTACTAATACATTTTAACAGGTCAAGTATATATTATATATACTTATATACATTGTACAAACTAACATGAACAATACAAACTGATGACTATAATTTTTTAACATTAACCTAGACAAATAAATTATGTAAAACTAGTTGCTCACTCTTAGTTCATGATATCCAATCCATTAACTAATGTTAACAAACTGAATCGTATTGTGAAGTGTTGGCACTAAAATTAATATCAGATTTGCTAAAGATCAACTCAGTGTAGCATAAAGTTTGTGCTAATTCATGTTAATTAATGTTCCTGTTGCTTACCTTAAGGTCTTAGTGTGTGATGCTGATGGCAAATGTTATAAAAGTAATGCTCAGCCATCTAAAATGTGACTTATTGCATGATATATACAATTTGTCAAGGAAAAAATTTGAGGCAAGAGTTGAGGAAAGGTCACCTTCCCAACCACAAATGTAATGGAAAATGTTGACATTCAAATTCACAATTAATCTGATTCTATTCATATAAGGTGCTCAGTGTTCTGAATGTATCATCAGATACAGGATATCTAAAATACTGAACCTGCTCACTTTGATACTGTGCTATATTACAAGTACTTGACTAGACATATCTTGGAATTGGAAAAGAAACCAAAATGTTGAATCGAAAATATCAAATAATGTAGGTTTTAAATTTGTATTCAATTTCAACACATGGCAAAACGTTTTCAACCAATTTATTATCCACATTGTATTCTTAATTGTATTTTCAATTACAGGACCATTTCGGCATCACTTTAGAACATGAAACAATATTATTGATCTATGACTAAAACAAAAATACTGCGATAAAGCAGTGATGCAAAAACTATTCAGAAATAATAATAATAGTAACACTAATAAAAATAATACAGTTGATATTAACAGGCACTGAAACGTGTATGTGCGCACATGAGAGAGAGCATGAGATTTAAACGGGCTCTGATGAGAGAAAGAGCTAGGAGAGAAATCTGAAATCACAACACAACCACATGGTGATCACAGAAGTCAGTCACCTGCAGGACTGTAGTGTGCGGCTACACACCCAGCGAGAGAAGAATATCACTGTCAAACAGGCTAGAAACAGAACAAATATTCTTGATAATTACTGTCATTATTAAAAAGAAGAAAGTTGGTGCAACGCCCCACTTGTTTTCACATCAACAATGCAGGAAATAGGCTAACTGTCACCTCTGTAAGCATGAACAGCAGAGAGAAAGAGCGAGATAGAAAAACCCTTCTGGCAGAAGATGTTCTGTTCATAGTCCAACAAGCAGCGTTTAGAAAGAGCAAATGTAGCCCTTGAAATCAAGAATCCACGGCCCTTATATCCATCTCACATCCAGGTTTGTGGAAATCTTTATACCGTTAATGCAGGTGAAACAAAATCCTGTACCTTTTTAGATAGGAGAAATGTGAATAAAGAAGAACAAATTATTTAAACATCCAAAACAGAACAAACAGTTTGCAAATTGTGAAAACATCTATTAATATTTAGAATCGTATACAGTAACTCAATAATATTTCAGTAAAAAATAATGCCTCTCATCCCATATGTTACCTCATAATCAAACGCTTACATCATTTTGACCCAACAGTTTTATTGCAGCCCACTTAGGGCTTTTCGTAAGTTGTACTATATGTGTTGGTTTGTTAAAACAAAGTCGGTGGTTATATCAGTTATTGTTCAGCTAAATGTCTCGAGCTACATGAACAATTGAAAACTTTCAATTCAGACCGTATATTAAAAAATTCAAGACGTTGTATTGTTTCCGTGTATTGGTGTGTCTTTTGAAAAAAATGTAAGGAAAGCATAAAAACTTTAGCTTTATTTTCTGAATCCTCTTTCCAATTACCGAAAACACAAAACAAGGGATTCAGGAGTGAACTAGATGCGCAGAGGGAGGGAGAGGGTCTCCAAATGTTTGCTCTCACCCCATTTTTGCCTTTATAGTTTCCAGTTACGAACAAACACACTGGGCCGTCTTCCTAAAAGCTCGGCACTCTGGGAGTTTCCAGAGGACATTGTTGACATTGTTTTTTACGCAGGCAAGCACTACAGCTTTATGAAATGCTGAATTATGTCTTTCAGTTAGAATTGAGTCTGTTGCCTGCGTTGTTGCAGTTAGCCATTAGCATTTAGCATTATATAATTCTGGCTGGCTACACATCAGTGCTAATGCTGCAGCTTCGCGTGAACATCTCCCTCATGGTGACCGAGCGGCTGAGGTTTAGTTTGTGGTAGTTAGGCAGCGGCATCGGCAGCTGGGTGGGCAGCGGGGTGGGCAACGGGGCAGGCAGTGGAGCGGGCAGCCCCAAATCCTGTTGATGCACGCTACGGTAGCTAATGCGTTCGCCGCCATTTCGCAGGCCGTCTGGCTGCTGCAGGTAAAACGGCAGGTCGTAATGCGTACAGGACGGACAGTACGTCTGTGAACGCGTCAGTTTTCGTGTCTGCGGGGGCGTGAAGAGGGCAGGCCCATTGGGAGTGGTTGCCGTTGGGACAGTGGCCGCCAGGATGTTGTGGTTTGAATGCACCGGCGGCATACGAGACGTGACGGCGAAGTCAGGCTCCTCCTCCTCTGACTCCGACTCCTCCTTCTTACAACAATAGTACTAGAGGGGTGTAAAGAGAGACTGCGTCAGCTTAGCATTTTAAATATACATAATAACTGAACACACTTAGTTTGAGGACCAGTTCTTACTGTTAACTAACTACAACTTTTGCCTCAATAAACTCCTAATTTGCTGCCTATCAATAGTTAGTAAGATAGTTGTTAAGTTTAGGTATGGGGGTGGATTAAGGGATCTAAAATATGGTCATGCAGAGTAAGGCATTAACACATGCTTTATAAATACTAATAAACAGCCAATATGCTAGAAGTGTGTGTGCTAATAAGCAACTAGTTAATAGTGAGAACTGGTTCTTAAAATAAAGTGTTACCAAGTAACTTAGGGCCAGATGTACCAACAGCTTGCATCAGTGCAAACCGTCTTTTGGCATTAAAGGGTTAGTTCACCCAAAAATGAAAATTAGCTTTACTCACCCTCAAGGCATCCTAGGTGTACTGTATATGACTTTCTTCTTTCAGACAAATACAATCAGAGTTATATTAAAAATTGTCCTGGCTATTCCAAGCGTTATCATTGCAGTGGGTGGGTGTTTCTGTTCAACAGTCCAAAAGACATCAAATAAAGTGCGCGCATTCATTGTAAAAAGTGCCTCACACGGCTCCGGGAGGTGAATAAAGGCCTCTTGTAGCGAATCCATCCATTTTTGTAAGAAAAATATCCATATTTCAAACATAATAAACACTTTTCTCTCACTTTATCTAACTGTGGTATGCGGAAGCCGTTCCGGCGGATGACGTAGGATGTCGGCGTTGCGTGATTAGTGACGAACGTGGAGAGAGAACAAAACAGAACGCCGGTCATGAATTAGAAGTACAAACTGAGGGGATATTTTCTTACAAAAACGCATCGATTCGCTACAGGAGGCCTTTTTGCACCCCCCGGAGCTGTGTGAGGCAAGTTTTAATTAGGGCTGGGTAAAAAATATCGATATCTCAATATTAATCGATTCTCATTTTTACGGAACGATATCGATTTTTAAATCCCAATAATCGATTATTCTAGCCTGTTTTCAGGTAATGGACGGAACACTGAAGGGCACTTCCCATCCAATATATCGCAATAAGCATTGTGCTTTGGTACTTTAA